TTTGAGAAAAACGAAAATTCAAACATTTTATCCTACATTTCGTTAGGTGTTAAGTCAAATTAATAAGTATATCACATGTTAGAAAAGTCAAATTTAAAGTATATATTATGTAATGATGATGCTTAGCGTTCTGTTGACTTATGAGAATGAGACGGATTGTTGGAAAAATAAGAGAACTAAACGTATATATTAATTCTGAAATTGTATACTAGAAATTTACTATAAACCTAATTAACGTTACTTGTAGTACTGCTTCCACCTGCCAAACAAACAAAAAGCAATACTTACTAATGTAATGCTAAATTTTAAACATCTAATCAAATCACTAAAAAGTAATTAAAGTATACTAATAAACCAATGATTAATCCACTTGGATCTGACATTTGCGATCCATGTGTATAACTTTGCTTTAATGAGACCACCTGCTTTATCTCCCATGCAATGTATACCGAGACATTACACGATTGCTTTATTCTCCTTTCCATACTAGTCGGTCCGAATAGCGCCAATACATAACACCAAAAGGTGAATAATCATATAAGTTACAACCATATGTATATAACAACAAAAAGTTTTCAAGTTAAAACCAAAACAAAAAACAAAAAAAGTTTCAAGCCTAAATAGTATTGCAGATAACTACCCAAAACCGTAACAAAATAAGTTTTAAACCTAAATAATAAAACCATCCTGTTTTGTGTTACTATGTAACTTTATTTTTATTTTTATTTTAAGAAAAGGGCTAACTTATTTAGTAGAAGCCAAAATGGTCCAATACCCCAATCCATGTATTGGGAATCTTTTTTTAGGTTAAAGTGGGTGTGATCTGAAGAAGACTTGGCTACTTTTTCAAATTATGGGGATAACAATCGAAACTTATAATCATTGCGTAACCCATGATATTGATTCCCCACACCCACAATTTTTTTTAATCAAAAAAATTTGTTGTTGTTGCAAGTTTCGATCGCGGGATCATATCTACTTTTTTCTTAAACGTTATGGAATATTTAACCAGTTGAACTACCGATTTCGTATTTTGTATACAAGGGCCTTTGACCTTCTGGCTTCACTATATTATATTGTATATGTTGTCATATGAATTTAGTTTAAACTTTATACATATCCAATTTGTTTTTACGCGCAAAGACATACGCACATGTGTACGTGTAATTCTGATGGGTCCAGCAATTGCTACATTTTGTGTCCGCACAATACGTGTGACTTACAAATTATGAATCCCAAAAACAATGGATGCAAATCATGTAACCATGCATCTTAAAGGTCTATATGGGATACACATGTGTATGAGACTGTAGATCGGTGAGAGTGGCCAATGTCATAGTACATATAATTGTGGTGTGATATGAGACCCCATTTATGTTGTCTGCCAGAATATCACAGTAACATTTCAGAAACTTCGATACTTTATAATACGCGTATAGTCAACGAATATTATATATAATATCGACTTACCAACGATATATCATATATATGTTATATACCGTACGAATGTATAGACATATATGCATGTGGTAAGAAGTGTAAATCTACCCACTAAATATTAGAATATTGATGTTAATTAATATGGAATAATGATTATTCATGTATCCACTGTATTTTTATGTTTGCTCCTGGATCGGGTTTCCAATATTTTTATTGGGGTTGTCCAAAATAATTTGATGCTACGATGAAACTATTGTTATAAAGCATATGCGATGTTAAGTAAGAAGTTATACGATAAAATTTAAATTTATCGACGACGCTTAAGGTGTAATAATAGTCTTTGAAAACCTGAAACGTCAAAAAATCGTTAATCAGTCAATGCTCAACTCGATTTTATGTTTGAATTGATCTTTGATAGAATTTGCTTTTGTAATTACCAAGGATCATATCAAGTCTCCCATTTTATCCCACTAAAAAGTTTTATGTTAGTGATTGTTGTGTTCGCCCCGAATGTGTGATTGATGCGATGTTTAGTCAATTTTATTGTTCTCTATACAATAATAGTGTGGTCGCTTTCGTAGTAATGTGATACCACAATCATGATAACACGGACCCCTAAATGTCCTTGTAGGCAAAATTCTATAACTTTGTTTGTCTTTTTCACCTAATTATATAACTTTGTTATCTATCCAAAATAACACATCATTCGCATTATAATCCTTGTTTTTTTTTTACTTTTCAGTAACTCGTTGACTAAGCAGATAATTAAAGTATGGAGCTTAATTAAGTAAAGTAACTATGAATCATTTCCTTATTAAGTAAGTACATTTCAAGGGGATTAAAGAGAGAGCATCATTATATTATGTTTTGAATATATATTTCGGGATCTAGCGAACGGATGCTGTAGTAAAAAAAAAAAATAGCGCACAACAAGCATATCCTACTTAAAGGCAACACCATAAATCTATCAACTCTTATGTTCCGCAAAAATCTACTTTAAACTTTGATTTAACTGTGACAATGAATGCGAAAATTATTTTGTTTTCCACTTCTACTATCTAACTAGCGACGAAATATGACTCAATCCTTATACTAACGATGAAATTCCGTCCATCAACTTCTAGAACCAAATAATTACGTTGTCTTAACATTAAAACCAATAAATAAATAAATAAATAATAATTACGTTGTAAACGACGACTATTCAGCCATACATTATTTTGCCATGTGTAACTGCGGGATGAATTAAATCGTTTTATTAACAAAATTTACGCAATCACAAATAGTTTTTTCATCACTGTTATCTTGTTTATTTGTAGTGCGTGACTTATTCTGTTTCGCGGTTGTTACATGAGACTCGTAGGTTATAACTCACAGCGTGAAACAGAGGCCATTGTAAGTGGAGGATAAAGCCATAAAGGAATTAAGATGATCCATCGTTTTCGGGTGAGGATTAAAAGAAAAAAAAACACTATTTTGATGTATAAAGTGGGAAAAAAACAAAAATAAAAACACAAGGTGTCAGGATATTCGTGGTGGGAATAGCTTCCGATTTAGACAGAAGCACCTGTGGCTGCGGCTGCGATTCGAGCATACGCATACTGCTGCATACCGACTGTTTATATTTCGGGTCAATAGTCGTTACTTCTTAATTTGACCAGAGTCTTCTTTATGTTACTTATTTTGACACACGCTTTGAATACGCTACGCGGCTAGTTGAAAAAGAAAAGGTTATGGCTGGTTTATTTGTAAGAGATTTAAGTTATAAATTATGGCCTTCATGCGTTAGATGAACACTTATATAACATATGTGCTCTACTTATTTTAGTCACACGACTAATAAAGGCCATAATTATAGGTTAGTAGTACTTGTCAAAGTTGAATTGTTTTGCTTTTTCTAACTTTATTATAAGAGATTTAGCTAATTCTTGTGTTAAATGTTCAAGCATATATACATATCAAATTAAATGATCTGATATGCAAATTTGGTCAAGAACCAAGACAAGCATATAGACAAATTTGGAGCTAGAGAGGCTCGGTAGGTACGAGTTTATCAAACAATAAACAACTAAAACAACTCATCGTTTCCCACGTGCCCATCCAGCTGTTATTGCACATCATCGTCCGACTGAGAAACGCAAAGGCATATACCAATTTTGGTCAATATTAGGCTCAACTTTTCTCAAGGTGAATTTACTATCACATTTTTGCTATTATTTTGTTGTCTTTATGCGAAATGTTTTGACTAACATAGGGTTTAGTATGATATCATTTAGTTTTGGAACGGTTAATCCGAAGAGATTACTACCGAAGCAACGTACGTGGAGTTTCACGTGTTTGCAACCGTTATCAAGACTCATCAATAGATTCTTATAAAGACTTATAATTATATATGTATATATAAGAAGTTAGAACATACAATAATAATTATTGACAGTGTAGAAGAACAAAAAAGAAAGAAAAAAGTATAATAATATCTCTTGCACATAAAAAATAATGGGATGTTTTCAGTTTTCTAAGTATGTCTATTGTTATTTTTTACTTAATTTACCTTTTCAATATTTATTATTTAATGAAAAACTCTTTAACAAAAAAAAAATATCTCTTACACCGACTAAAGTATTGTGACCATTTGTTGTTGCTAAATCGTCATCTCCAACTCCTAACGTTAGGCACTTTCAAAATCACTTTTGAAAAATATCCCAAAACGCAATATCGTATAGCTTTAACCTGGTTTGGTAAAAAAAAAAAAACCTTACTACATGCATATACTTGAAGGTGACATATAGTTTTCTTATTACGGAAAAAATATACTAGTGAACAAAATGTCAGCAGAACCATACATTATAAAGTAGTAAAAAAAATACCTTACTACATGCATAACCTGGTAATTAGTATATACTTAAAATAAATATTGTAAATATCGAAATAATATATAGTTTTCTAATTAGGGGAAAAGGTGGTGACATGGCAGTGAGGAGAAACTAACCCATCTGCTAATGAACAAATGTCAGCAGAGCCATACATTATAAAGTAGTTTAATGATAAGGGAACGATGATGATGTCATAAGTAGTTGCTGTTGGGGGTAGAATGGGAAAATCAAGAAATATGATTGAAAGTGGAAACGTAAGCTTTCTGGCTTTTGCGTCCTCTCTTTGTCGGGACAAGACATGCATCAGATTCATACATCCGTGAATCGGTGCTTTATCCATTTCTTCCAACTCTATTCCTTTTTTTTGGGTCAATACTATATTACTCAACTGATGCTTAACGTGAAGTTATTACCCTTAACGATCCAAATTCTAATGAACTAAGAGAAATATGAGTGTATATACAAACAGAAATTTTAAATTATATTAATTACATATAGTTTATTAAGTGTTCAGTTTTTAACGGATATCTAATTAACTTCGTAAACGAATTTATGAAACTCGAAATATGTTGACGTAGCTAAATAAACTTAAGAGATTGAAATAATTAAAAGTGAGTGGTTCAATTGGTAACTCAGTTCCACCTAGTACTGATCCATTCCAATAGTAAATTCAACGCTTTTAAATTATTTTCTTCTACTTATTTATTCACATCACACACACACACTAACTCCTATAAAAGGAAGAAACCACCTTAGATCTTTTCCTCATTCCTCACTTTCAGCCGCCAAAAAGAAAATCAATACTCCAACATTAAAAAAACATCCCAAACACGACCCGAGCGGTCTTCAAATGGGCACAGCGGACTACACATTCCCTCGAGGAGCGGAGGAGCCACACCGCCGCCGCCACCACACGGTGGAGGTTCCACTGCCTCAGCCGTTCTTGAAGTCACTTCAGTACTCAGTGAAGGAAACTCTGTTTCCAGACGACCCTTTTAGACAGTTCAAGAACCAGAAAACATCGAGAAAAGTTGTATTAGGCCTCAAGTACTTCTTGCCGATCTGTGAATGGGCTCCACGCTACAATCTCAAGTTCTTGAAATCGGATCTCATAGCCGGAATCACCATCGCCAGCCTTGCCATCCCCCAGGGCATCAGTTACGCCAAACTTGCTAACTTGCCTCCCATCCTTGGCCTTTGTAAGCGTCATATAATATTTTTCTTCTCTCTCTGTCTTTTTTTTTTTTTCGTATAATGGGTCTTTTGTATTTAACAGTTTCTTTTAATTCCATTGAGAACTAGATTTAAAAAATAAAGAGAGCACTACGGCAATAACAGAAGAACCTCAAATCCAACATTTTTTTGTTTTGTTTTGTCGCTAACTCAAATATATTATTCAAGAGAAAAGCAAGTTTCAGAAAATTAAATTAAAACAAATGATTATCTAGAGAAAGGCAGTAATTATATAATGAAACTCTTAACACAGTTTGATTAAAATTCGGAGGTCTGATAATTGTATTGTGTTTTGTTTTCTTTTGCGTTAAGACTCAAGTTTTGTACCGCCATTGGTATACGCGGTGCTGGGGAGTTCAAGGGATTTGGCGGTGGGAACGGTTGCGGTTGCGTCTCTATTGACAGGTGCCATGTTGAGTAAAGAAGTCGACGCTGAGAAAGATCCTAAGCTTTACCTTCACCTTGCTTTCACCGCCACGTTTTTCGCCGGCGTTCTCGAAGCCTCACTCGGCATTTTCAGGTTCTTTTTAAATTTATTTCTCCTTAATTACCTTTTATATGGAATTACTTATATAAAAAGTGTGAATTATATCTTTGGATCCAAAGCATGTGGAAAAAGAATCCGGCATCAAAAATATCTAACCAAATAGTAACTTCTGTTTTCTTGTACGTAAACGTTAAAAAAACATATATAAATAATTCAGAAAGCACTATAGGTTATGAGTGAAATAAGTCAGTGTGATTTACGTCACGTGAACTTGAGATATAGTTGCTGACAAACGAGCCAATAGGGACAAAGAGTGATAACTATAGAGAATCCTACGCGAATGTAATTACTTTACTGGTAATGGTCGGTTTAGTTTTTTTTTAGTGTGATTGATTACTACTTGGTTCTAGAGGACATGAGGGATAATCTCAGTAACGTATTTTAACATATTTATAGGTGGAATCTCTTACAGATTCCCAAAAATAATGATAAAGCTGGCTAGAAAAGGGTTAGGGAAAATCTCAAAATCATATTTCCACTTGATGGGCTATCTTACCCAATTCTCTTTTTGGTTGGTTAGATTCGATTCATATCTGATTCCTTTCACTATATTATTAATTATAGGAATTCATTTAACAAAACAAAAAAAAGGTTAGTTTGGTGATGCTACTTGATAGTGACGCAAACTGATCATTTACTGTCAGTATATTGTCAGAAATTACGACAAAAAAGGGAAGTAAAATCACACGAAATTAAGTCAAGGTAAAAAAGTTGAGAGAATAATATGCAGGTTAGGGTTCTTAGTGGATTTTCTATCGCATGCAACGATAGTGGGATTCATGGGAGGAGCAGCGACGGTGGTGAGTCTGCAACAGCTTAAGGGTATTTTCGGACTTAAACATTTCACTGAGGCCACTGATGTTATCTCCGTCATGCGTTCCGTTTTCTCCCAAACTCACCAGGTGTCGTCTCTCATTTACCTTATTAGTTATTTCATTAATTTCCTATTACGTAATATACATCCAAAATATCATTCCCAAATGTCGATAACAATATTCCCAAATTTTTATTTAATTAGTAGTACTAATAAACATGTGTTTCTGCTTGTTGGTTTGTTCTGTAGTGGAGATGGGAGAGTGGCGTTCTCGGCTGTGGTTTCCTTTTCTTCCTTCTCTCCACCAAATATTTCGTAAGAATTTTTTATTTCTCCTTCTGTACCTTCTATCGTTTTAATAAATTAATTATAATCCCATTTCTTACCACAATTGCCGATCTTACAATGATATTTCGTATAGTTCCATTAATCTATCTGCTCTTCTTCTTTATCAATATTATTTATATATAAGACAAATTAACATGATGAACTTTGATTAAATTACACAATTAACATGATACAGAGCACGAAGAAACCAAAATTCTTCTGGGTGGCGGCGATGGCTCCTTTGACCTCAGTGATACTCGGAAGCCTCTTGGTTTACTTCACTCACGCTGAGAGACATGGTGTTCAAGTGGTATTTTTCAATTTCTCCATCTCTTTAATTATTTGACCAAAAAAAGAAATTAAATATTTTCAATCACGACCAAACAGATAATGTGTATCAATTTCACTGAAATCTACGAAATTATTTTATATATGAACATATCACCGAAATCTGAAAAAGGGAAAAGTAAGGCAGAATATTGTGGTTAGAAAAGATACAAGAAGCAAGAAGTTGTAAGTTATAAATAATTGTGGGAAAAAAACAAAAAGTGGGATCATGGGCTTTTTTGCAGTTTTTTTTTTTTCTAATTATGTCCGAAATAGAGAGGAATGATAGAATAAAGGAAGTGTACGATTATGCAGATAGGGAACTTGAAGAAAGGGTTGAATCCACTGTCCATGTCTGATCTCGTCTTTACATCGCCTTACATGTCGATAGCTGTCAAGACTGGCCTCATCACTGGCATCATCGCTCTCGCTGTAAGTCCCAAATACCCTTTTATTGTTTTCTTTTTCCTAAATTGTGAATATACAAAACTAGACATGGTTTAGTTTTGGAACTGTATATTAATTGTTTGACACTAGAAAGTGAACTTAGAAAGAAAGATATATCATGGAAATCTCTGAAACAACTGTAGATTAAGTTAAAACAAACTTAGCACCCTATATACTTTTAGACTTGATGATAAACAAAAAAATCACCAAACTCAAATAAAAGTATATATGTGTAAATGCAGGAAGGAATCGCTGTGGGAAGAAGCTTTGCAATGTTCAAGAACTACAATATAGATGGGAACAAAGAGATGATAGCATTTGGAATGATGAACATCGTTGGTTCACTCACATCTTGTTACCTCACAACCGGTACGTACACACATATAGGACTTCTACATTATCACATTAACATATGTAATATGGAAAAAACTTATATATAATATTAATTACCTTATCCTAGGACCATTTTCGAGGTCGGCCGTGAACTTCAACGCGGGTTGCAAGACAGCAGTCTCGAACATAGTGATGGCGATTGCAGTTATGTTCACACTGCTCTTCCTCACGCCTCTTTTCTACTACACACCACTCGTGGTTCTCTCCTCCATCATTATGGTCGCCATGCTCGGACTCATTGACTATCAAGCTGCCATTCATCTCTGGAAAGTCGACAAATTCGACTTTCTCGTTTGCATGAGCGCCTACTTTGGGGTCGTATTCGGTAGTGTTGAGATCGGGCTCGTCGTTGCAGTAAGTATATACTAATGTTTTTAATAAATAAATAAAAAAGTATTTGCTATTTAGTATAGTTCAGTCTCCAGAATGTACCTAGACTTCTGTTTACTATTTAGTATAGTCCACACCAGAACGTTACTATAAGAAAATGTTTTTAATAAAATTTGAAAATCTGATGTTTTTGTCTTGTTTTCGCGGTGATGAAGGTGGCGATATCGATAGCGAGGTTGTTGCTGTTTGTGTCGAGGCCGAGGACGGCGGTGAAGGGAAACATACCAAACAGCATGATCTATAGGAACACTGAGCAGTACCCTTACACAAGAACCGTTCCTGGTATTCTCATCTTGGAGATCGATGCTCCTATCTACTTTGCCAACGCTGGTTACTTGCGTGAGAGGTAACCTTCACCCTAATTCATACATACATTTACCAGATGATGCAGGATTGGTTTTGAACTATGTTTCCCATTCGTTTAATTATCGGGCGCAGAATCACAAGGTGGATTGAGGAAGAGGAAGAGAGAGTCAAAACATCAGGAGAAAACAGTTTACAATATGTTATACTCGATATGTCCGGTAATATTACACATCTTGATTTTCTCTTATACTAGTATTGCTTTTTCGGATTCGAATCTTACTTTGTGTGTGGTGAACAAAACAGCTGTTGGTAATATCGACACGAGTGGTATAAGCATGATGGAGGAAATTAAGAAAATCATCGACAGAAGAGAGTTAAAGGTAACAGAAACAAATCGCGTATAATATAGCTTTTTAGTATGCTACGCATTTTCTTTATTCACTTATTCTTTGTTTATAAATCTTCTCAGTTAGTATTAGCAAATCCAAAAGGAGAGGTCGTGAAGAAATTAACCAGATCCAAATTCATCGATGATAATTTGGGCAAAGAATGGATGTTCTTAACAGTAGGAGAAGCCGTGGAAGCTTGTAGTTTCATGCTTCACACGTTAAAAACCGAACCGGCCTCCAAAGAAGAGCCTTGGAACAACGTATAGGAAAAAAACGTAAAAAGAAAAACGCATTTTGGAATATTGTTGATGAGTCACATGTAATATGTTAACTCTATTAATTTTTCTCCTCAGACAGGGTCAATGTAGTATTGTTATAAATATTTTGACGTTTAGCGAAATAAAACATTGAAGTCTAAAGAAGTTGGTTCTGAGTTTAACCGGAAGCAAATTAAACCGAGAACAAATTACAGTATATAACATAAAAGTATTTAAAGGCCACAAAATTATAGCCATGTCTTTTCATAAAAGCCCATCAGGTAATAGAACATTCAAGGATCTGACGATAATCATCCTGTACGTCAAAGTCCACTATACAGATACATTTTTACTCCATACAAAACAAGACACGTAAGCTTACAATCAGATAGATAGAGTCAGATCCACGATACACCCGATGTATCGTTTTCGTTGCTTTTGTGTCTTTACTCCCCAACCAATACTAAGACGCCACGTAGTGCTTCTGAGAAGAACTTCGTCGTTACGAAATCCAGTGTGTTCACAAGCAGAGCAAGGAGACTTTTTTTTTAATTTTCTTCTAAGAAAACAGAACTAAAGATGAGCAACGACGATTCGCGACTCGGTGAGTTAAATCGTTCGACGGAAGAAGATGGAGGAAACTTCACGGTTTACGAGTCTCGATTCCAGTCGCAGCGGTTTGACTCGTCCTTCTCCGATTTTGACGCCCAACCGGAAAAAGACTTACAAGGCGGCGATTCATCTCCTCACTCCAACCAAGGAGATTTCTCCTCGTCGCAGAACGAAGCACCTGAATCTCAATCTCCGCCGTTGATAAACAGCTCGGAACCTACGAACGGTCCGATCTTGCCGCCTCCATCGGTCATGGAGAAAGAGGAAGGTTTCGCTCTCAGGGAGTGGCGGAGGTAAAAGCTTTCTTCGTGCATGCAGCTTTGTGATCCTCTACTTGCTTCATCAATCCTTTTTTTTCTTAAATATAAATAATTTAAACCTTTGAATTATAGATTCTTTTTCCTTTTGTAAAATTTTGGATTTGATTGCTTAGATTTGCTGAAAACCCTAATTTAGCAAGTCTGTCGAATGACTTTCTGACTCCAAACATTGTTCCATGGAGTCTTTTAGTTTGTTCAACAAGTTTTCTCCCCTAAATTACAAATAGAAACATTGACTAAAGTCAAACCTATAGTCCATGTGACTGAGTGACTCTGTTTACTAATTGTGGTTGATATATGATTGAGTTTTAACTGGGAAAGTGTTTGTTTGTGTTGTGTGTCTTCAAGGCTAAATGCTCTGAGTTTGGAAGAGAAGGAAAAGAGGGAGAAAGAGATGGTTCAGCAAATTATAGAAGAAGCAGAGCAATACAAGGCCGAGTTCTACAGCAAGCGTAGCATTACTATTGAAAACAACAAAAAATCTAACCGCGAGAAAGAGAAGGTGATTGGTCTCTGTAAAACTTTCTTTTTAGAGTTTGTGAATTCTCAAGCTTCCTTTTTTTTTTTTAATTTGCTAGTTGTTTCTGGAGAGCCAAGAAAAGTTTTATGCTGAAGCTGAGAAAAACAACTGGAAGGCGATTGCGGAACTCATTCCTCGTGAAGTACCGGTTCTAGAGAAGAAAGGGAAGAATAAGAAAGTTTCTATAAATGTGATACAGGGACCAAAGCCAGGGAAGCCCACTGATCTGTCTCGTATGCGTCAAGTGCTTACGAGACTCAAGCACAATCCACCTTCACATATGAAGCCCAAATCGCCCACCACACCACCATCATCTCAAGTGGTTGACCCGTGAGTCAAAAAGAAGTTGTAGTTTGTGTTTTTTGACAAGTTAACTTCTTCTTTGCTTTGTGTAAAGCGTCTGCAATTTGCTAGCTTCAGTCTCGAATTTTGCTTCTTTTGGTTACGTTTCTCTCTGGTCTTATCATTGTTGGCTACTTGGCTTCTCATACAGTTTTCACAACTTCGATGTTTATATTCAATAAGACGGACCTTAATGCGTGTTCATCATCATAATCTTTAAGCAGAGAGCTTTCAAAGAAGTTTCATCATCTTCGCATATTTTTTTTTCCCTACCAAAAAAAATCATTATGGTTTTGAAGTTCGTTGGAAAAAAAAGAAAATATGATTAGAAAATTAAATTCATTAGATTGTTGACTGGCCCATTTTAGATTAGTTTCACAAAATAAATGCCCAACCCGTCAAATAAATAAAGTCTTGGCCCATCTTAGACCCACACGTGACTTCCGTCGCATCCTTATCATCGTATCATCATCATTTGGCGGCAACCGTTTCATCGCAACCGTTCAATTCAACGACCTTCCTTCAGCATTATCTTCTTACCGGCTATAGCAGGTAAAAGCACCTGGGGTTATTGGAATCTTCCCTTCTATTTACCGGTGAACGCCGATCCTAGGTTTAACAGGTAACCGGTAATAAGCATCTCTTTCTTCCCCACGCCCATCCCTTCCTGTCTGATGGTTTTTTTTTCTGCCTCAAAACGAACAGATCTTCCATTCGTCTCGAAAGGTAATGTGTTTTCTCTACTGTTTTCATTTTTTAATCTCTTCGTTTTGATTTTTTTGCTATCTCGATTTCATTTTCTACGTTTCCTTTTCCATTTATCTGTCTTTTTTTGGAGAATCTGGAGCTTAGCTTGGTTGATTTGAGTGTTTTTCTCTCGGTTTCTCTCAATCAAAAACTTTGGTTTTAGCCGAGGATTCTGTACTTTTTGAGCTTCGAATCTGTTAATACTCTGTGATCACTCAGCTTTTCCTCTAACCTCTGGTGTTTCATATCGGTGAATAGAATCTGGCCAGTTTCTAAATCTGTTCTGTTTTCTAATTTTAGCTCGCGGATTGCAAATTGACTTTTTCCTTCGTTTATTAGATTGATTTTTCTGATTGGATTGACTTATTCTTTTTCTCTGTAGAGAGTAGTGTGTCTGTTGATTCTGTTTCATGTTGAATTTGTTAAGAAATTGATTCCAAGTCGTTGGTTCTACAGTTGCTGCGATGAAGACAGGAAAGGGGAAAGATAAAGTCAAAACAACAAAGGAAGCCTTGAAGCCTGTCGATGACAGGTTAACTTCGTTACTTTTCTCAAACTTAGACAGTAATAATGATTTTCGCACAAAAAAAAAAGACAGTAATAATGATAAAATTATGTTCTTGTTGAATCGGTTATTAAAGTATGTTTTTTGCAAATCTGAGTTAGATTTAGCTGTTGTGAAACAGTGAAAGATCAAGCTTGGAGCTTTCTTTTTTTTATACTTTGTTTATTGCTTCAAGCACCGCCTCTTGTGATTTGATCTCAAACATAATCAAATGCTTCTGTTTGAGTTTCAGGAAGGTGGGAAAGAGGAAGGCACCCGCAGAGAAAGCTAACAAACGAGAGACTCGTAAAGAGAAGAAGGCCAAAAAGGATCCAAACAAACCCAAAAGAGCTCCAAGTGCATTCTTTGTCTTTCTGTAAGTACTGTGGTTGCTTTCCATGAAGAAAGTTCCACTTGTGTTAATGTAATTCCTAGAACAAATCTTTCATAGTTTACTGGTTTGGTTTGTTTTGCTTTTGTTGTAAATTTACTAAATTGAAGGTTTCTTCTGGGTTCTTTGTTTCAGAGAAGACTTTAGGCAAACGTTCAAGAAAGAAAATCCAAATGTGAAGGCTGTCTCTGCTGTAAGTATTTTGGCAGATTCGTTGAAAGTTTACATGTAATTTTGGACGAAGCCTCATAGTCTGACTCTTACTTTCCCTTTTTCTGTTTCAAGGTTGGGAAAGCTGGAGGGCAGAAATGGAAGTCAATGTCTCAAGCTGTAAGTAGTATTTGTGGAATTTTCCTTTCTGATACTGTTGTGATGCAACAGCTTCTGAAGAAGAAAGCTGTAACATTATTTTTATCTTTTCCTTTTGAAGGAGAAAGCTCCATATGAAGAGAAAGCTGCAAAAAGGAAAGCTGAATATGAAAAGCTTATGGACGCATACAACAAAAACATGGTAAGCCCTAAGCAAGCCTATCTCACATATACAAACACTTAACGTGGCTCAATCTGATTTCCTTGTAATGGCGTTAGGAGGAAGGGAGTGATGAATCTGAAAAGTCTAGATCCGAGGTGAATGATGAAGATGAAGCTAGTGAGGAGGTAACACTTCCACAAAAGAATTAACGTAGAGTTTCTATATATATATAGTGAGTTTTAGCTTTCTGAAAGAAAATGTTTCGCATAATGTTTCTCTTTGCAGGAAGAACAACTGGAGAAGGGTAAGGCAGGTGTTGAAGAGGAAGGAGATGAAGATGAAGATGAAGACGATGATGATGATGCGGATGATGATGATGAGGAAGAAGACTAAGCCGGAGATAGAAATCAGATTTTGTATCTCGAGCACAACTTCAGGAGCAAAAGCATAATCAAGTATTTTGTAATTTGTGTGTTGAGAACTATATAGATCTAAATCGTGTGTGTTTTTTCTTCTCTCTTCTTTTTCCTAAGAAAGTGAAACAGTTCTTAGCGGCTCAGGAGATTTGTTTCAGCATTTTCTCCACTACAAACAATATGTATTAATGTATGCTTTTTTTAGTGATCATCCAAACCATGTACAAAGTTACTCTCTTCTAATGCATCCAAATAATAATGAATTTTCCGACGGAATTTAACTGAATATACAAATTGTTTCACAAACATGAAGATAGCATATTACAGAACAAAAAACTAATACAAAATGTAAAACTAAGTCGCTCTCAAACAAAAACATAACAGCTGCTACAAAAATTTCATGTGAAACAATTCTATGCCAAAAAAATGCTTCGTTTCTCGGGAAGGCTTAAGAATTAGTATGATTCATTCATTGGTGACCTCATCAATCAGGTCTGGGGGAAGATCGGAAGGTTTATCGAATTTGGTCTCATTCCGATTAGCATCGCTGATCTTTTGAAGCTGCATCTCACCCTTGGCGATAAGGCGTTTCACCATGTCGAAGGTCGTAAGCCTTATGCTGCAGAACAGACATAAACGACAATGGATATCTCGTGAGCAATCTTACATGTGTGAGCCCTAAATAATCTTAAGACACATGCACATAGTCGTGTGTTTGTTACATACGCTAGTCCTATCTAAAAACCGTATTGAGCATGGTTTTGAATCAGATAGAACTATATACCTTACGTAGCATATCAGCAGCTTAAGATCAACCAAGTCAGCGCATTGAGAAAATTGCTAGTTTTCTATGTGTAAAGAAGAGTCTAACCTGCTGTTCGGTAGAGTTTTCAATGCATTGGGTAAAAAGCCACGGTACAAGCCTATAAGCCCATCACGGTCTATGATCCCTGCACAGCATATGTGAAACTTACTCAGTTTCGAGTCTTTTGCTCAATAATACACTAATGAAGATCTTGCTCTACTGTGTTGCATGATGAGAATAGATTTTTTTTTACCAGCAAATGCTTCCGGGATTGATTTGTAAGGAGTGCCTCTCATCTGCATTTGCCGTCTCACAGTGTCTAGAGGGTAACATGTTAGTGTTGCAATACCGGCCGAGAGAACAGCTGTGATTAGAGACGATTGTGCCTTTTGTCTGTATTCCTCCGGTAAAGACTTCTTCACTCTGTTGTCAGTTATGTTAATATTACTTTTTTGTTGTTGGTATTGGTAGTTGAAACAGATGGAGTGGAAATTTAGCAGACTCACAGATCGAATATACAAAAGTTAACAGCAATATATGGAGCTATCCCCACTAGAGAAGGTCCAAGGCCGTAATAGAAAGATGCGATTCCTTCTTCACGGAGCATACTCAAAGCAACCTTCAAGAGTTTACATTACACAATCTCGTCTATCAATAAATGCAGGACCATTGAGGGTTAGAGTTTGAAAGCTTAAACCAAGAATGGTAACACAGAAACCAATCTCACCTGAGACATTGTTCGGTACCCAGGTTCGACTGCCAATCTCAGTCTCAAGACATCTAGTGGATATGTCAACTGCGTGAGAATCAAGATGCAAGAATTAGATTAATATATTACCTCAGAAAATTGACTAAAACCCAAAAAGGGATAAACAATCTTAACAAGCAGTAAATTCATCGAACTACAAAAACTAACCAAAGTAGACGTCATGCCAGCACAAGCACCTGCCGCTAGTCTTCCGATGACTGAGAGCTGATCATCTTTACCTTTGAACAATTTCTAAGTTCAAAAATATGGAAGCATCAGTTAAACGGAACAAGTAACAGCGAAAACTAGCGAAAAAAGTGACGAATCTTAGTTTAAGCTAAATGTTGTCAGTTTCAGTACAGAGACAAAAAATAATGCAATCAAGAAAAGTTTCCAGTCAAAATAACTCTCACACAAGCTCCTGTGGTTAATCTATCTAACTTTAGACCAGAATCATCGTTTAATATGTCATCTTAGGGCTGTGCATGTTCTTTTAAGACAAGTAGCTATTTGTAGTGTTGTACAATCATATAAGCCATATAACTAATAAGTTGGTGATGACACAGACTCACCTTGTAACTCTCGTAAGCCAAAAGCTGGACCGCACTGTAAGGCAACACTCTTATCACCTGGTGTCACATTTTTCAAAACATAAAAATCCAATAACTCAAGTGAAAACCTCTTCACTAGTATAAAACACCACAAGTTTTCAAAAGCAAGCAATTTACAGAACCTGTGGCAAGTTTCCCTTCCAGTAACCTTTTATTCCTTCTTCTTTGGCTATCAAAGTGATTGCCTGTATAGTCCATATCCAATAACTCTTGCATCAATTTAGAACATCAAAGACTAAAGGTAAGTAAGAAGAAAATCGACGCAAAAAACTACCTCGATAAATCCTATAGCTTTCTTTGCACTCTGATGTCCAATTCGTATACCATGTGTCTGCAGATAAACCATATTCAGATAGTAGCATTAACAAACTCATAGTGAAACGAGAAATTAAACTCTTGTCAAGGTTCATCTTCATTTTGCTGATGGATATGTATCTCTTTGTTCCCTTTAACAATTAAGCTATGATAAAAAAAAAAAACCTAACTATTACTGTAATTATAACTAATACAGGACTAAAGTCTTGTTGCTGCTATTTAAGAACAACTAACACTAACTGCAAGAATCCTTAGGATTCATATTCATTCAACAGTTGCAGCATTACTTTTGTGTTTTAATATATTCAAACCTGCATAAGAAGCTTGATACGGTCAAGTGGAGCCGTAACCGATTTGGCGGCGGCTCCGGCAATAGCACCGGCGGCGAAGATGGCGGCATCCTTGGGGACAAGAGCAAGGATAGCAAGCGGATTGTTCAAGAGCTGAGCCGGCGTCGGAGCCAATTCCCTCTGGTCGCACTTCTCCACCAGGGAAATGGAGGCGAATCTATTACCCAAACCGACATCTCCGCGAGCGGAACTCCGGCACAAACGGCGGCGAAAGTGTACGGTGCCGGATTTGGCAGGAGAGGAGCTTAGTATGGAGGAGTTGAGGGAAGGGATACGGTGAAATGTGAGAGTCGCTCTGTCTTCTTCCACCATGGTGAAGACTTGTAGAGGGAAAGAGATAAGGCGAAGGTTTGTTTCAAAAACCAGCAATAAAGAAATGGCCGCTCCGTCAAGTGGCGCGAATACATTAGGGCTCGAGCACTCCATTGGGCTTTATGGGCTTCTCTGAAACGAGTATGAGAATGGGCTTTTATATCTTTCCTACTTTTCTCTATGTCTTGAATCTTTTCATCTTTTTGATTAGTTGCAAAACTGGATCCTTTAACCTCAGTTGATTTATTATATAGCTTTATCAGAAAATAGCCTTTTATTCAGATTACTCACTAAAAGAGCACATAAATGTACAAAATAAACTTAAAATGTCAACAAACAAAAGAAAGAAAGAGAGACAGAAATGCGACTTTCTTAAAACATCAAAAACTTGTCTTCATCAAGCTCCCTTCATAATTCATGCTTTGAAGAAATCTCTCTGACAAGTTTCTCTCCGTTTTGTATTAGGATCATATTGCTGATTTCTGCCCTTTATGCTATATTTTTTGAAGTCATTCGATCGTTATTGTTTCTCCATATTAAGCTGAGAAAAGCCCTCCTCCTGCATTGTTCATGGGTTGAAGTCCCACGACTGCACCATCTGGTTGTTTGGTGAAACACAAGTACAAATGTACCATTATCTATAGATATAAATTGGTAATTTGCAGTGGTAAAATTATATAGTTGGTTTTTTCTGTTGCTTACTCTGAGTAATTTGGTCGACGAAGAAACAGGCGGCAACAACTACATAGCACAACAATAGAACCAATCCCTTCATGTAATGAGAAGTTCCATCCTAACCACACCCAAAACACAAACGACGATAGTTAAACATATTGAACCAAACCGAAACAAACGATACTATTGAACCAAACCGAAATACTCAAAACTGAAATCAAACCAAAATGTGTTTACCACCAAACCAAATAAACTGAATTTAATTAGAAACTTGTACTCAAACCATATGTACCTGTAAGGTGAAGGCTGTGATGATAATGGCCAAGGCTAGACAGCTAGTTTCAAGGAGGTTGAAGTTGAGATCCATGTTGATTCCCAGAATCCACGCAACGATAACACTCAATGGAACCTTAGGAAACACACCAATTATTGTCTTCAATATTTATTACATTGCACACCCACTCAACAGTTCATTGAATTTTTCAGATATCGACAATACATAAAGAAGAAGAACTTACCACGAACAAAGAAATCTGAGTTGCAGAGCCCAACGCGACCCCTAGAGATATGTCCTGACCATTCCAGAGAAAGAAGTGCCCGATTTAGGTCTAACCCGCTTGCATTTTACATGTGAACGTTTTATAATATTTTATTTTTGCAACAAAACAATATTGTTTAAAATGTCAAAGATTGTGGTTCATTTGGATAAAAGGCATACTAAGCAGAAAACTAAACACAAACGCAAACGCAAACAAACAATAGAAGGCATACGCATAATCTAGAAAGTTGTAACTTGCAATGCAAGAAAAAAATAGGGAAACTCACGAGCTTGTTCTTGAATGCGAATATGATGGCTCCAGCATGTTCAGCCGCATTTCCAACTATGGGAAGCAATATGATGCTTATGAAATTCACCGATAGTCCCCATGAGTCCGATGCATCCTGACCAAGATTTAATAACCTACGTATTAATATAT